AATAAAAAAATATAATAAAGGACCATAGGCCAAGTCTTCTTCACGTAATTAAAAAGGGGTTTAGAATTCTGAAAACTTTGCTCTCCTATCCATCCATTCATTTAATTCCTTCAATGAAAAGACAAAACAAGGTGCAAAGATATTAAAGGGAGGGGCTGCCACTGGACACAACAACAACACGGTATTTTATAAAAGAAAGGTAAAGATAACAAAGCATTTTGGCAAGAAAACAAGGAGGACCTACCACTTTCTTCATTCACGTAAACCTAAGAGGTTTTCACATAAGAATACAACTTTTGAAAGCTTTTGTTGTTGCCAAAGAATAAAAAACGTAGCTGCACATTCACTTCACCTCTTTATTCATCTTTCAAAAGTAAACAAAGTAGAAATGTGTAAAATAATGATGTTGCTGGACCCATGAACATTATATAAAAGAAAGACAAGCAATATTGATTGGAAGGTGAAAACATGCAATTCTTCTAGTGGCACCGTCCAACTTTCTTTAAGCAAAAATTAAACTACAAGTTCTGAAATTTAAAGCATACCACCGTGCAAGCAAACCAAAGGAATTGAAAGCATTAAAAACTTCATACACTATACTACTACATGGACCATTTTTGCCGAGAATTTCATGTGGTGGTGGACCAAGGCTTCACTTCTCCAAATTGCAAGAAGGAATCACGCAAATCTGGTTCTTGTGACCGAGAATCACACCTCATATTCATCTACTTCTTCAAGAGTTTTCTCCAAGCAAATCACCTTGCACAATTCATCTAAAGTCCATCACTTATGCTTCCATCTTCACCATGACAGCAGCTTCTCCTCCTCATCTCCAAGCTCAGTTCATACTAGAGGTCTTCCTCTATAGGTTCTGTATCTCCTCCTACTCCATGTTGGTATGTGTGTTTTTTTTTTCCGAAGAAACAAGAATGAAAAATGAGAGTGAATGATAGATCCAAAAACTGCCGAGAAGAAGGAGTTAAGAGACCTCCAAAATTAGCATGTGTGTTGTCTCTTTGTGCCCATAGAGTAGCGGCTGATCATCCACCTAGTAGCTAGCCTTTTTCATTTTTTCTTCAATCAATCCCCTGTGCTTGGATTTAGCTCTCCAATTGGTGTTTCACGGGATGAGTTTGTTCTTGGATTTAGCTATGTCAATTGTTGTTTTTTGTGTCGACAAAAAAAACAAATGATTCACATAATATCCACGTGTTGTAAGCTTTCTGGAAGACTTTGTTCTGAGCATATGTTTTTGTTGCTAAAGCTTACTATGCCTTTTCTCAATGTGATGTAGCAAACTAAAAAAAACGTGACACTTCCTAATTCATGGGCAGTGAAAATTAGCTGATGTGTGCACCTCCAAAAGAAATTAATCTCTAAATTTTTATCCAACAATTTCCCTACAATTAAAAATGCAAATAATTAGACTCAGATAATTCAAATTAATTCAAATAAGAATTTCTGGTCAAATTAAACACAGTACAGAAAAATGGGAAAATACTACATATTTGAGCACACTTTCTTGATTAACTCCAGTGCAATAAACTAAGTGCAGTGGAGAAAATATCAAGTCATCACCAAATACAATTCTCAAATGCTCTTCATGTTCGTCCTGGGTCTTGGAGTAGATGAGAATATCATCTATAAAAACGACCACTAATTTGTCCAAGTAAGGTCTGAATATCCGATTCATATAATCCATGAAGATTGCTGGTGCGTTAGTCACACCGAACGGCATCACTACATACTCGTAGTGTCCGTAACGAGATCTGAAAGCAGTCTTCTGGATGTCTTCCTCCTTAACTCTAATTTGGTGATATCCAGATCGCAAATCAATCTTAGAGAACACTGTAGCCCCATGCAGTTGATCCAACAAATCATCTATCCTTGGCAATGGGTACTTATTCTTGATGGTTAGCTTGTTTAATTGCCTGTAGTCAATGCAAAGTCTTGAGCTGCCATCTTTCTTCTTCACTATGAGAACAGGCGCTCCCCATGGTGATACGCTCGGCCTGATGAACTGCTTGTCCATCAACTCCTCAATCTGCTTCTTGAGCTTAGCTAACTCCGTAGGTGACATACGGTAAGGTTGAACTGAGATGGGTGCCGTCGTTGTCACCAAATCAATCGTGAACTCCACCTCGCGAGCAGGAGGTATTTCAGGTATTTCTTTCTTAAATACGTCCGGAAACTCATCCACAACCGATCGTCCATTATTGTTGCTAGTGGACGATCGTTCTTGCATCGAACTTCCGAACTCCTGATCTTCATGCGTCATAATTAAGAAACAGCTGGCACCTTCCATGATGTCTTCCTTCAACTGACCGAGCGCCACAGAAAATTCTTCTTCATCTTCTTCGGGAAAGACCAATCTCTTAGCGCCACAGTCTAAGAGAATGCGATTGGTAGTCAGCCAATCCATTCCTAAAATCACCTCCAAACCTTGAAGAGGTAAGCAGATGAGATTGACTTTAAACTTACGCCCTTCCACTTCTATGGGACAATCTGACGCACATAGTGGACGTCCTAACCTCGCCAGCCGCTGGGGTTGACACCACCAGGTCGAACTGCATCTCTCTCACTTCTAAGTCCAGTTTTTCAACACACGCCTTCGAGATGAAGGAGTGGGTCGCCCCCGAATCATACAACACATAGCAATGTTTACCAAACAGCAAGCAATCACCGAATATGAGATTACCTGAGCTTTCTGCCTCCGCACCAGTCAGAGCATATACACGCCCAACAGCTTGGGCTCGTCCACCTCCTCTTGGTTGATTTCTCCCAGCGTTCGGGGGTCTCATCACAGCGCGTCCACCCATGTTGCACTCATTCTCCAAGTGCCCATTTCTTCTACAACGAACGCAAAATTTTCCTCCCATCAGTTGAGGACAGGACGAACGATAGTGTGGTCCTCCACATTGGAAACAAGTCACGTTTCCTTGCCCAACTTGTCCAACAGGAACCAGTGCTTGAGACCCACTTGCATTTGATGGTTGATTTGGACGTGTGTAAGGTGTCCTTCTCAGATTAACATTATTCCTGGTCACGGTCGGTCCCCTAACCACCTGTTGTTGCTTCTTCTGTCGTTCTACTTCTGCCATATTCTTCTCTAATACTTTGGCTCTCTCCACCATGGCAGGAAACGATCGGATACATAAACTGGAAATCAGTACCTTCAGGTCACTTCTTAGCCCGTTCTCAAATTTCCTGCACTGCCACTCCTCACTGGTGGCCATCGTATTAAAACGGACAAGGTGTTTGAACTTATTAGTATGCTCCGAGACAGACATTCCACCTTGTATCAGTTGAAGGAATTCCACCTCTTTTGCAAAACAGACGCTATCCGGGAAGTATTCTTCATAAAATTTGCTCCTGAACACTTCCCATGTGATGGGATTTTGGGCGTCCGTCAAAACAGCCCTCATGCTCGCCCACCAGTGGCTTGCTTCCCCGGTCAGTAGATATTCTGTGAACGCCAACCTGTTCTCGTCCGGTCATCTCTTGGCGTTGTAGATTCTCTCCATATCCCGCAACCACTGATCTGCCTCATCAGGGAGGCACTTTCCACTGAACTTGGCTGGGTGGTGTTGAAGGAAGCTTTCCAAGCTCCACTCAGCCTGTTGGGTAGCGTTAGAAGAGGACGCTCCCGATGTATTCCTGGTAGCAGCAATGATCTCCATTAACTGCCTTTGCGTAGCTTCCGAGTTGGCGCGTGCGGCCTCCAAACTCTGTAGGGCAGCTGCGTTCTGCTCCATTAGTATAGTGTTCTGTCGTTGTAGCCTCTCAATCACTATTTCCAACAACCTAGTGTTGTTGGGCGCATCAGGTTCATTGGGCTGTGGTGGAGGAGGGAGTCTAGGTGCCATTTGTTCTCTGGGAACAGAGAAAAACGAGCGTTAGTCATGTTCAAAGAGTTGAAAAATTAACTCATTAAACACACATTAAGCACACAGCAAAAACATAGTGCACTCATAACCTACAGTGTCCTTAAAAGAACAAAACGGCTCTGATACCACTAATGTAACATCCCAAAATACAGTAATCACCATATAATAGAATTAATTACATTAAACAATTAAACAATGCAGTCTTACACTAGAATCAAGGTTCAAAAGCCAAAAGGCTTAATTACAGTAATTCAGTACTACTAGAAATTCAGAACGAAGGGTTTTACAAAATTAACTAACCGAACGTTCAAAAACTAAAACAACTAAACTCTAAAATGAACGAATGCTCTAGGGTTCAGCTTTAACCTCCACGTCTACTAGGTTCTCTTCTTCAATAACGTCCTCCAAAGTAGCCTCGCCTTCTGCTCACATCCACACGGATGATCATTGCAACGACAGGACGAACGTACAAAGACAACAAACAACACAAGGAAAAATGAAAGGGTAAGCTTATGTAATTTAATCCATACATCAACATATAAAATAAACATTTCAATCCACACAAACATATAGTTTAACATATAACATCATACGAAGTATATTACTAGACAGACCGTCCGGACTGTATGAATCTGTGTAGCTACAGGCGTTCTTGCACTCGGGTGATGAAGTAACTGGAATAATTGTAACATCCCAAAAATTCACCCTTTAAAAATTCAAAATTTGATATATTGTAATAATACAATTACGGTAACACCCCGTAATCTCATACTTAAATCTATACATGAATTTTAAGCTGAGAGTTAACTGCAAAGATAACATTGAATCATTCTAATTTGGTCTTCCATCTCTTCCTTCATTTGCACAGGATCACGCGACAATCCTTCATCTGCTCCCGTATAACAAATACGTTATACGATCATCACAAAAATAAGATTTTTCCGATACATGCACAAATAAGTAAGGGTGAGCTAACATGCAACACAAGAATTATAAAACATGCATAAATACTTTGATATAAACATCATATAAAATTTATGTCAGACATCCTCTTTTACCATCATACCACAATTCCTACTATACATTCATCCGGATGATACGTTGATGAGCGGTCACGGGAGGTTATGCACTTGTGATGACTTTTACTCTTTCTTACAAATACACTTCCAAAATACTTCATACCATTCACAAGGTTAGTCCCCTCACTATGTCCAAAACCGGCACATAGACTAGGACATCCGACCCTCCATATCATTCACAAGGTTAGTCCCCTCACTATGTCCAAAACTGGCACATAGACCAGGACCTCCTGCTCCTCTCACCACATAATTCATCCTTCTCTACTTGAGACTGGACGATTATTAGAGTATCAGGATAACCTCCAACTACGGGACCCTCAACATCAACATATACACTCATATTCCTCAAATCATATTATACCATTACAAAATCTCTCCATAATACACATATCATGATCAGATGCATAATTTGATGTCAACATCATAAAATACATTCATTACAGTAATTTGATCATATATCATGCATTCACATAATTTCCACATAATTCATGTCATACTATGCATAGTACACTTAATTCCACATCAACACAACAGTAACTGAAATTGGAACCAAACACTAAGAACTCTGACCGAACGTTAAAGATCGAACGCTAATAGCCTAACATTATTTGGACGACTACTGTTTGGACGAACGCTATCGACCGAACGCTATCTGCCGAACGTATTTTCTGAACACCATTTGACTGATCACTATTTGGACGAACGCTAGGAATTCATGCTGCATCGGTCGAACGCTAAAAGACAACTCCGTATTGACCGAACACTCTTAGAACGAACGCTATGATCAAACACTAGGCCGAACGTTCAAAACCGAATGCCAGATCAACCCTATCGGAACGAACGTTCAAACACCAAATCTCACCGAACACTATTAGGACGAACGTTTTGAGTCTTATTTGAACATCTAACGTACTTTGCCAAACACCTAAAGTACTGACCGAACGTATTCAAACTAAACCTCAAGTTACCGAATTTAGATCGAACACTAGCTACCTGAGAAAAACTATCATCAAGACTGACGCTCGCTACTACTAAAGGACGTTCGCTATCTGAGAACAAGGAACATCAAGACCGAACGCTCTCTAAAACCTACGGACGTTCGCTATCTGAGGACAAGGAACATCTAGACCGAACGCTACAGATTTCTTCATGAAAATACTTAATTAAGGACGAACGCCTAAATTTACTAATTCGCTGTATACAGTTTGGACGAACGTCCAACATATTTCTAACTTTACCTAAGGACGAACGCTACTGGACGAACGCCAAACAACAGGCTGGACACGAACGCCAACAAAACGCTAATAAGACCGAACGCTCAAGAATTCCAAACTTAAGATTTATTGAATTAGGACCGAACGCTACAATCACTAATTAGCCATAGCGGACGTTCAAGATTCAAGCCTGATAATACTAAATTATGTCGAACGCTATAGTTACCAATTTAACAACGAACGTTCAAGATTTAAAACTATACTGATAGGTCCTCCCAACATAGTGGACGTCCGCCCAAGGTGGAACGTCCACCCCAGAATCTGGACCAAGTGTCCAACGAGCGGCCAATCATTTAGGAAGCGGACGTCCGCCCAAGGTTGGCACGTCCGCCCAATAATCTGGACCGAGCGTCCAACCATTCAGAACCGGATGCCTACCCAAAGTAGAACGTCCGCCCGAGATTGGATGTCCACTCAAGGTAGAACGTCCGCTCAATAATCTGGACCGAGCGTCCAACCATTCAGAACCGGACGCCTACCCAAAGTAGAACGTCCGCCCGAGATTGGACGTCCGCTCAAGGTGGAACGTCCGCACAAGAATCTGGACCGAACGTCCACCGAGCGGCCAATCATTTAGGAAAGCGGACGTCCGCCAAAGGTTGGCACGTCTGTCCAATAGTCTGGACCGAGCTTCCAGCCAATCCAGAAGCAGGCTTCCGCCCAAGGTGGCACGTCCGCCCAAGAATCAGGGACGGGTTTCCCATCATTCATGAACCGGACGACCGCCCAACCGACCCTCACTTTGTTGATTACACGGTTAAATGCTAATGACACATTAAAGTCCTTAATGAAGATTAAGGTATTATTGGGCCGTTTCCAGGCCCCCAAAAGGTAAAAGCCCATTACAATCAGTATAAATAAAGGTCTCAGGTATGATTTCTAGACAGATTGCTTAGAACGCAACACATGCATGCATTATATAATGCTCTGTCATATTACTGACTTGAGCGTTNACCCCAGAATCTGGACCAAGTGTCCAACGAGCGGCCAATCATTTAGGAAGCGGACGTCCGCCCAAGGTTGGCACGTCCGCCCAATAATCTGGACCGAGCGTCCAACCATTCAGAACCGGATGCCTACCCAAAGTAGAACGTCCGCCCGAGATTGGATGTCCACTCAAGGTAGAACGTCCGCTCAATAATCTGGACCGAGCGTCCAACCATTCAGAACCGGACGCCTACCCAAAGTAGAACGTCCGCCCGAGATTGGACGTCCGCTCAAGGTGGAACGTCCGCACAAGAATCTGGACCGAACGTCCACCGAGCGGCCAATCATTTAGGAAAGCGGACGTCCGCCAAAGGTTGGCACGTCCGTCCAATAGTCTGGACCGAGCATCCAGCCAATCCAGAAGCAGGCATCCGCCCAAGGTGGCACGTCCGCCCAAGAATCAGGGACGGGTTTCCCATCATTCATGAACCGGACGACCGCCCAACCGACCCTCACTTTGTTGATTACACGGTTAAATGCTAATGACACATTAAAGTCCTTAATGAAGATTAAGGTATTATTGGGCCGTTTCCAGGCCCCCAAAAGGTAAAAGCCCATTACAATCAGTATAAATAAAGGTCTCAGGTATGATTTCTAGACAGATTGCTTAGAACGCAACACATGCATGCATTATATAATGCTCTGTCATATTACTGACTTGAGCGTGGGAGTGCCTTTAGCAGGTACCCGGCCCCTCGGCTTGGAGCACAGAGCGAGCGTCTGGAGTAAGAGGACGTCCGCCCGGCTTGGAGCAGAGAGCGAGCGTCTGGAGTAGGAGGACGTCCGCCCGGCTTGGAGCAGAGAGCGAGCGTCTGGAGTAGGAGGACGTCCGCCCGGCTTGGAGCAGAGAGCGAGCGTCTGGAGTAGGAGGACGTCCGCCCGGCTTGGAGCAGAGAGCGAGCGTCTGGAGTAGGAGGACGTCCGCCCGGCTTGGAGCAAAGAGCGAGCGTCTGGAGTAGGAGGACGTCCGCCCGGCTTGGAGCAGAGAGCGAGCGTCTGGAGTAGGAGGACGTCCGCCCGGCTTGGAGCACAGAGCGAGCGTCTGGAGTAAGAGGACGTCCGCCCGGCTTGGAGCAGAGAGCGAGCGTCTGGAGTAGGAGGACGTCCGCCCGGCTTGGAGCAGAGAGCGAGCGTCTGGAGTAGGAGGACGTCCGCCCGGCTTGGAGCAGAGAGCGAGCGTCTGGAGTAGGAGGACGTC